ATTTATTATCATTATTATTATCATTATCATTATTATTATTATTATTATTAATATTATTATTACTATTATTATTATTATTATTATTATTATTATTATTATTATTATTATTATTATCGAACGGTTGAGGGATATTAAAAAAAAAAAAAAAACAATTGAATGTTTGTCATTTTTGTTTGTTTGTTGACAAAGTGTGATAAGAATAATTAAAATTTAATCGATGTTATCATATAAAAAAAAAATACACAGAAATTTAATTTTTATGTAAAAATTCAATTTAAAAACAAACAAACGAACGAACGAACAAACGAATGAACGGGGGGAAAAAAAAAAAAGAATTCGAATTTTGAGGATTTGAAATATTTTTGGAACGCATGTCAAGAGAGTAAATAGAGAGAGAGAGAGAGGGGGGGGGGGGAAGAGAAAAAAAAATAAAATAAAATAAAAAAAAAAAAAAAAAAACTTTCCATAACATCAGCCACATCGGTAAGAGCATCTTTGGGGAGTCACGTTCCCCCATCAAGATTGATTTTATGGGGGACACCCTGAGGATTTTCTTTTTTTTTTTTTTTTCTTTTTGGCAAAAAAAAAAAAATTTTTTTCCTTTGTTCTCTCGGTTAAAATATATATATTGGATTTTTTTTATTTTATTTTATTTTATTTTATTTATTTATTTATTTTTCTTTAGGTTGCGGGGGTAGGGAGGTAGTAGCGATCGTTGTGGTGGTGGTGAGGGAGGGTAAAAAAAAAAAAATAATTTTTTTTTTTAAACGGACGATATAACCGAGTACAAAAAAAAAACTAAAAATGTTTGGATTTCCCGATTAGAAAATTCTCCATGAGTATAAAAAATTTGTTTTGCAGGCCCGGATTTTGATGGATTTTATCAACTCTATTCTCACGAAGCACCTGGACCACAGCGAACTGGTCAACCCTATAGTGCAACATCACCAACCCTGAGTTACCACCCCTACAGACGTTGAAGTGTTGTTAATTATTTAACCCCTTGATATCAAGTTTGTTTTTCCTTCTCTTCTACTTCTACTTCTTTTTGTGTTTTTTTTTTTTTTTGTTTTGTATATATTTATATAAAAAATCGAAGAAAAACAAAAAAAAAAAACAATCTATAAACGATTTTAAAATAATAATAATACATTAATTAGGTTTTTCGGATTTCGTTTTACGTTTATCATTAGTTATCCACGCACACGCACGCACACACGCACACTCCCACACCGATAACATAATCACACATGTTGTATATATTGTTGTTACTTTGATGTTGCATTTTACATATATATATATACTAATTTAATTACGGTCAACCTTTAAAACTATTAGTTATATTCTTAATACTCTCAGATAATAATAATAATAATAATGATAATGATAATATTATTGATAATGATAATAAATATTTATTTACCAAAAAAAAAAAATAAAATGAAAAAAAAAAAAATTTTTTTTAAACCGATTTTTTTTTTATTTCAAATTTTTTAATTTTTTTGTTGTTTTTTCTAACCGTCGCCATATTTGTTATAAACAATTTTTTTTTTTAATTATAAATATATAGTCTGTAGTGCCCCCCTTCTTCCCGTGATTTTTTTTTTAACCTGTTCGCGTTAAAAATGCCTCCAGGTTTATTTTCCGGTCAAAATTAAAAGGGTAAGATTTTCTTTTGTTTTTTTTTGTTTTTTTTTTTTTCCCCACGTGATATTAATTAAATAAAACGAATCGAAAGGTCAAAAACAAAACAAAAAAAAAAAAGGTCAAAACGGTTTTTAATGACGTCACCGTCGTCGTCGTCGTTTTGTATTATCGTGATTGAAAATTAATTTGACCTTGAAAATCAAAATTTTCTTTCCTTTTTTTTTTTTGAAATTTTATTATTTAAAACTTTTTAAATGTGTATAATTTAAAAAATCGAAACGACAAAACTTTATTATTAAATTTTTTTTTTTTTTTGAAAATTTATTTAAACTATAACCAATTTGTTTATGAAAAAAAAAAACAACGATTTGTTTATTACGTTTAAAAAAAAAAAAAGAAAATTTTAAATTCGTGTTGCGAAAAAAAAAAAGTTTTTTCTTAAACAATTTGTTTGCCCGCGA